TATATATATATATATCGAGATAGAATTCTCTCTCTCTTTCTCGTCGTTCTTCGCGCACATCTACTTGCTTTTCCACGATGTGACACGACAACTGGTAAACGCCCACCGGTGGATGAAAAAAAAAGTCGACTATCGACTATACGTCCTTTGATACGAAAGTCACACGAGTAAAGAGAGGTTTATAATTTTTAAATTTCGCTCAAAGCGAGATTCGCGAGAGCAGCCGTTCAGTTACATTTTTATTAAAAACGCACAATCTATTTTCACTTACGCAATATTGTATGAATCGTTACGAGGAGCGAATATTCTTATACTACAAAAACTTTATGACAGTAAAGAAAGTATAATCAATAAATTAGCTTGCAAAAATATGTAAAAATGCATTTGTGCATTTTTGCATATTTGCAAGCTAATTTATTGATTATATATGTTGGTTATTAAAATACACAGCATAATAACAAAATTTATCCGAAAATATATAAACTATATATATTATATACAATATTCTTTGTTTTACAAGTTCCACGTATCTTTAAATTTGATTTTTGAATCACAATCTTTTTTTCAAGATTTTTCCATGATTTTCGCATAATGTATAACAGTAATTTTATTGATGGATAGAGTTCTTTGACGAGTTTAAAATCGACTTTTTTGATGTGAAAAGAACTGTGTACTAAATAGTTTTCGAATAATAACTAACCGTGTTAAAGAGAAAAAATCAATCAGAGTATCTATCATATTAAAATTAGAATGATAAATTGTTAGATACTTGCATATTTTTCACAATAATATCTCTCTAGGAAATTAAAAATCTCGTACTTTTAAATGTTTTTTTTTTTTTTTATTTCAAATGATACTTATTGACCCTTTTTAGTGCTAAATCTACTTTGACCGGATTACTGATCGGATCGCTCACAATTTTATCGCTCTTAACGGAATCCGAAGAGGATTAATGTGATAAATCTGCGAATCGACACCGCGATAAGAAACCGAGCTTTTCTCGTGTTGGTTTAATACAGTCTCGCCTGTCGCACTTTTCTCGCCTCTTAACAACGGACACATCCTACTTCTTGCGAGGTAAAAGACAACGCTTCGAGCGTTGAATAAACGGAGATCCTTTTAAAAGCATGTGCGCTCGGCAATCGAAATTCGAGAACTTTTAAACGTAACGATCAAATTACGTCGATTCTGACAGCGATCGAGTGTATCCGAGTGTATCTTTCGAGAGAAAAGGTAACATCTCGATTTCATTCGATTGTTCACTATTGATTGTTCACTTGTAATACGTAATCGCAACTTAAAAAAAAAAACGCTTCTTTTTGTGGAGATTCGGTTTTTCGTAAAATTACGCCATTAACTTTGATCTTTATTTGAGCGCATCCACGATAGAACTTGAATTTTGCGATAGACGCCACTACTAGGCGAAAGGAAATTCATAAATATTAATGTACCGTACGATACGTCGCATCGATCTCGGCCCGCGCTCGTTTAATTAAGTCGTTGATTAAAATGAAATTCCGTAGGATAACTATTCCCTGCGAAGCATACGTATTAGACCTACAAAATATGTCCAAAATAGCAGTACTCGCATTTATGACGCTATTCAAAATTTCTCGACTAAAAAAATAATCGAAAAGGTATGAATAGCATCATAAATACGAATATATCTATATATATATAACTATTTAATATTTTTATACTTTAAGTTGTTAAATTTATTTTTTATCATGTTTCTATCATCAAATTATCATGATTAAACATAGAGCAAAATTTGACGTTGCTATTCTATCGAAATCTAGACTCGTAATATAATATAAGTTCCAATATCTATATAATTTTTATTTTCTTCTATATAATAATTGACCGCGTTTTAAGGGGCTAATTCTCTAATCGCATTTTTGAAATAACGAGATAATTTTCAATCGAGCGAGCTCTACCGATGCTTCTCGAAATTGGTCTCTCGGCGAGGCGGCGGCGGTGGCGGCGGCGGCAACGGCGGTCAGCCATTGGCGGCTGAAAAATAGATACACAATAGAATCTCTACTCACCCGGCGCATCACGCGAAGGGAGAACGATGATGTCTTCATTTTATTGGTTATTCTGACAGCTTGCTACGTAAAGTTCCGGGATCGGGAC